CCGAGCATCCGGGTCTCCGGGAAGCACCACGCTCAGCGTCCCAGGCCGAGCATCCGGGTCTCCGGGAAGCACCACGCTCAATCTCCGAAACGGCGAGAAAAATCGAGCCTCCGACCGCTGGCTCGGGAAGAGGTGACACGGCAGCCAGGCGCTCCTAATCCCGCTCACCTTATAGAGGATGACAGTTCTGCTCCTGTCCGTCACTAGGAAATGGTCTGTTCTGTCGGTCTGTTCTACACCTAGGAGTCCGTCCGGCCTCGCGCCCAAGGTTACCGCAGACAACGTGAACTCTTCTTCCAGGGCTGCCATTTTGGGCACGCCTATGGCCAGTCGCGCACAGTCCCGGCAGGCCTCGCGCTTTCTCTCGCGATAGCGAGATGGGTAACGGGAGGGCGCTGCGACCCCTTCCGGTCCAAAGGGTCGCGCGGAGCCGCCTGTTGCCGGCTGGGCGGGGCCTGGACCGTGCGTCTAGACCCCTCCTCTCGAGGACGCGCATGTGCAAGTCCCGGATGTGGTCCAGGTCCCGGGAAGTCCTACGTGTTCCACGAGAGCTGCTGTACCCCCGGACTGTTTGTGGAGATTTGAAGAGTTTAAGGAGTGGCCGAATATAAATGAATTGAAAAACAAAACAACAATGAAAAACAAAACCCTCTTAGGGGCCTGTAATCTCAGCATTGTGGAAAATTGGGGCAGAGGCTTGAAAGTTTGAGCCCAACCCGGGCAATTTAGTGACCTACTGAGACGCTTGCTTTCTTTTTACATTTTTGTCTTTTTGAGACAAGGTTTCGCTATGCAGTTCAAGCTGGCCTTGAGCTGAGTTTGTAGCCCAGGCTGGCCTCGAACTTGCGACGATCCTCCTGCCTCAGCCTCCGGAGTGGTGGGATTACAGGCATGTGCTACCACGCCTGGTGTAGAGGCACTTTCTTAAAAAAAGTAAAAATGGGCTGGGAATGCAGCACAGTGCGAAGGCCCTGGATTCAATCTCCAGTACCACAGAAATGAATAAATGTCCAGGGATGTAGCTTAGCGCTAAACTACTTCCTGAGCTCATCCATCCACAGTACCCCAAACAGCAAAATCAGCAAACTCCCTGCCTTCTTCCACAGGATGCCAAAGAAAAATAATGCATTCCTTGAGGTGAACTAAACCATGCACGGTTCCTAGTTGCCTGTTTGCCCCCAGCTTCCAGAAGTGCCCTGGCAGACTTTGAAGCATGGATTGACTGGGTCTCTTGTTCCCTTGGCATCGGGGAAGTTTTTCCCAGGTTGCAAAAATTTCAAAGTAGTTTGAAGAAAAAAATGAGGTCAGAGTCTCCCGGGTAAGTTTTGTACAGGTTTCATTTCTCGGAGAAATTTGCTTTCTGAAGATAAACATATAATTACATGGGATGGGGAGAAGATAAATTATGCACGTTTTTACGGAGAAACCATCAAAATAAGCAATTAGTAAACAATGTGCAAGGTATATTAGAAAATACCTCAGTTAAATTATCTGTACAGATTGCTATGTGACATTACAGCTCTGGAAAAGGGTAACATTAACTATCGTGACGGAATTGGAGTAAATTCCCATCAGGCAAACAGGTGATTGATTTTTCGAAGTGACTTTGAAAAACTTGACTTTGAAATTTGTGATTCCGGCCGGGCGTGGTGGTGCACGCCTGTAATCCCAGCACTCGGGAGGCTGAGGCAGAAGGATCATGTTGCGAGTCTGAGGCCAGCCTGGGCTACAAAGTGAGCTCAAGGCCAGCCTGAACTGCATAGCGAGACCCTGTCTCAAAAAGACAAAATAAAATAAAATAAAATAAAATAAATAAATTTGTGGTTCCTTTGTTAGTAGGAAAGGGAATACTGTCTTTGAGTTGAGATTCACCCTATGCCTTTATAAGACCTTCTTTCCCTACCACGACAGTCAGTCCCTCTACTGACCCTCTCTGGTGTCTGCTTGTCGTGTTTGAGGGCTCTCCTAGATTTCTCCAGAAAGTCTCCCTTGACTCTGAGCCGGTTAAGTGTCTGATTTTGGTCAACAGTGCTGCTGTAACATGCATCATCTGGTACTAGGGTGACCTAGTTACTCCTGTGTCTACCCCATCATATGCTTATTTCTTTGAAGGAACTCCGATTTTATTATTAATGCCTGTCCCATAAATATTTGTGTAAAGTGCACAAACTTAGTCACAATACTGTGTTTGTGCTTTTCCTCTTCTCCCACCGAAGACCCAAAAATGGGTTCACAAACTTGGCAGTTTCTGAATCTTTTACACTCTTAAAAATTATTGAGGAAAAAAAAAATTAAAAATTATTGAGGACTGCTGGGCGTGGTGGTGCAAGCCTGTAATCCTAGCACTTGGGAGGCTGAGGCAGGAGGATCATTGCGAGTTCGAGGCCAGCTTGGGTTACAAAGTGAGCTCAAGGCCAGCCTGAACTGCATAGTGAGACCCTGCCTCAAAAAGACCAAAAAAATATATATATATTATTGAGGACT